CTAGGGAATTCTAGGAAGGACTTGAATCATGGAATGGTCTGCCACTGAGTTCTGATTGAGCTCTGAGAGCCCGTGGTTCTGTGGTCCCCAGCCTCTACGGACAATGGGAGTTAGTATGAGCTGGCCTCATTTTCCTTGGACTTTCAGGATGACAGACACAAGACCCTTCTCCTCCCGGCATTCCTGTGAGCCAGGCAGCTCAAGTCTCTTTGCCCACATTTTTCAAGTGAGGAAATAAGAGTCCCAAAGAGAGGAAGACACTGGCCCAAAGCTATAAAGTGCCTAAGAGGCAGAGCTGGGACCTCCCAGGCAGCAAGAACTGCCCCTATTTTTGATTAATCACTAGGAGAATTTGGGTGGCAGCTGTGACTCTGTCTTCTTCCAGAGTGGCCGGCACCAGCATCTGGTCAGGAGATGGCGTTCATCCCCTCTCCATCTCCTTCCACAGGCATTTTCAGCACCTTAGACAGTGAAATGTGGTCGACAGCCATCATGGTTTTCCCAGTGGGCACCATCCAAGCACAGAAATGTTTATGGCATTGAATAAGTGAGTGAATGAGTGAGTGAGTGAATGAGTGAATGAATGTATGAATGAATAAGCAAGGGAGGGAGTGAATGAGAGAATATATGCTTCTTGAGGGCAGGTCTTTTTTCACTATTTGCTTGTAGTCCCTGAACTGGGCACATGGTAAACACCTAATCCATTCTAGTGGATTGATTGGTTTCTTATCAACATTGGTGTGCTAGAGCCAGCTTGAAGGACCATTGTTAAATATTCATTGTGAGCACTGAGACTTCAGAAAATGGCAACAATTACAAATCAGGGCTTGATTTATTGTGTTGCTGATTGTCTGGACTTTAGGAAGGAATGGAGTCAATGTGAACGATGCAGATTAAACTGAAAAGTGTGCTGTGAGTATAGTTTTGTTTTGTTTCTCAGAGAGCTGGTTGTTAAACATTCATCCCTGCTTACAACACCATTGTCTCCCAGGCAGCCTACTCCTTTTTTGGCTGGCTCTCATTGTTGGAAAACCTGTCCTCACCATGAGCTGAAGTCTGCCCCCTCCCCAGGGTGCCCTTTTGGGCTAAGCAGAACCCAAGGGCTGATGGATGGAAAGATGGAAATGGGGGTTCTCATGCTGTTCCACAGCCCCTCCTACCCCCAGACAGGGAAGTGCCTGAGCTAGGAGACGGGGTGGGCTACAGTCAGTGGGCTCTCGGCAGCAGCAGCAGTAGCGTCCTGTCTAGCTGAGCCAGAACCCAAGGGCAAGCATCCCTACACTGTTTGCCAGGTATCTAAGGGCTGAGTGTCTCTTAGAGCCTGTTAGATGTAGAATGTCAGAACTGGAACGGGACTTTAGAGACTAGTGAGTCTAACCCCCTCCTATTACAGAAGGGGAAACTGAGGTCAAGTTGTACGGTAGCAGATTCCCAAGGCCTGACCTCCTTTCCCAGCTCTGACAGACATTCCCTGTTCTAACTCCAGGCATTTTCCTTCTCTGAACCTCATCTCCCTCATCTGTAAAGTGGGCATGATGGCATTCACAGAACACTTTGAGGAAGGAGCTTTGTAGACCTCCTAGAGCTCTAGAAACTCATTTGTTATTATCCCTGATGGGGAGAAGTAGGAGCAGTTACTTTCATTCCCAGCTGCCTTGGCTGCCCGGTTCTGTTGGCAAGCATTGTGGACCAGGGTTCAGGTCCAGCAAGGACTGGTGTGCTCGGTGCCAAACTGAGCTCAGCCAACGGGCTGTTCTACCCCCTGGGGACAGAACATCTGCAGAACAGATTAAGTGTCCTGCAGAGGGGCCCAGATGTCTTGGCGTGTGTAGACAGAGCTGTTGTCTCCTTCATAGTTTCCCTAATCAGGAAAAGCATGGAGATGATGAGGCCAAGGTCCCTGACTAGTCAGGGTTGGTGCTGCTGGTGACGAGGATGAGGAGGATGAGAAGGTGTGCGTCCTAGGGGACTGAGCGCTCCTTTGGAGTCAGGAAGCCCTGAGCTCAAATCCTGCCTTTCTCACTTACTAGCCCGTGGTTACTCCTCACTATTATGTAAAACTTAACAAAGGACTTAGAAATCTGTAACATTTTGTTCAGCCCCGAGGGCCACAGCTGAACAGAGGCAGAGTGGCATTATGGCCTTTGAGGCAGGAAGACCTGGGTTCAAATCCTGACTCAGGTTATTTGGTGGTGAGTGAGTCACTTCAGCTCCTCAGCTGTAAAATGGAGGAGTGGGCCTTGCTGGACTCAGAAGCTGGGCTCTCAGCATCCTGGGATCCCGAGGGCCACATTGATCCAATGGAGAGCACCCAGTGTCCAGAGAATGGGGAAGGGCCTTGAGGTTCTGTCGCATGAAGACCCATCAGAGGAACTGGCAATGTTTAGTATGGAGAAGACTGAGAGCTGTCACAATATCTAAGGCCTGTCCCCGTGAAGGGGACCTTACCAAGAGCCCATTTTGGGCCTGGCACTAAGGAGAAGCCTCCTCCCCACCAAGAACTGTCTCCAGGGGTGATGGACTTTGTCTCCTTTGAGGTCTCTGAGCAGAGGCCCCAAGACTACTCCTGCTGCACAGGGCCAGCCGGAGAGTCCACAACGGGGATTCGGGAATCCGTTCTTTCATCTCATCCTCAGAACGCAGGCCAAGCTGACGAGCCTAGGGAGGGGATGAGACTTGCCCAAGGTCACACTGCCAGTGAGGAGCAGAGCCAGGAGTCACATCTGGGGCTTCTGATTTCCCATCTAATGCTCTTTGCACTGGACCCACCCTGCCTTCCACAGATCCACCTGCTTTCTTCCGGGGTTATTTGAGCAAAGCTAGTAAAGTAAGTCAGTGTTAAAAAGGATGAAAGGAAGGATGAAGACTAGGAACCAGAAGGTCTGGATTCTATTCCAGCCCCCCATTTGTTGCGTGACCTTCAGTCACCCTCTCTGTCATCCACCCGCTCTGGACTTCCTCTCCCCATCTGTCTAATCAGGGATGGATGGACTCTGAGGCCTCTTCTGGCACTACACCACGTCACTTTCCTTCTCCCTCACGCTCTGTCTCTTCCTTTCTTTCCTTAGTCTCTTGGTTACAATTTAAAGCAGCAGGACTAGCCATTAGGGGATTTGATCGGCTCCCCTGGTAAGAAGATTGGGTTCCCTTCTCTTCACCGGTGGGACTCCTTGGGCAAACACAGTGTCTCCTCCTTCTCTGGCCCATTGGCCTCTGGCTCAGGGCACTGCCTGAGGGAAGACCACTGTGCAATCACTGAGCCATAGATGATCAGAGATGGGATAATGGAACTTAGAGATCATTTTGGTGGAAAGGAAGGAGAGCTGGGTTCCAATTCTGGCTCCCTACATGGCTTGCTCTATGGCTCCAGGGAAATCATTTATTTGCTATGGATTGGGTCCAGAGGGAAGACTAACTAACTGTGTGTGGAGTCAAGAGGTTATGGGTTTCAATTTCAGCTCCTCAACTGACTCATTGTGTGACGTTGAACAACTGACTTCCCTTCTCTGGAACTCAGTTTCCTAATCTGTAAAATAAGTAAAATAATCCTGCCCTTCCTGCCTCTCAGGAGAATTGTAGAGAAAGATCTAAGAGCCTTACAGTAGGAAGGAGAGCTCAGAGTATTGTCTAAAGAGGGGTGGATCTGGGGGCAGAAGACCTGGCTTTGAAAGCTGAACTGCTGTTGGATGGATGCGTAGATGAATGGGTGGATGGAGAAATGTGAATGGATGGATGGATGGACGGATGGATGGATGGATGGATGGAGAAACGGATGGATGGATGGATGGACGGATGGATGGATGGATGGATGAATGGACGATGGATGGATGGATGGGGAAATGTGAATGGATGGATGGATGGATGGATGGATGGATGGATGAATGGATGGATGGATGGATGGATGGATGGATGTGGATGAGATGGTGAATGGATTGATTGATATGAGTAGATGTGGATGGATGGTTGGATATATAAAAAGCATTTATAAAGTACTTACAACATGCTAAAGATACACATACAAGCAAGCAAGACAGACCTTACCTTTAAGGAGCCTTACATCCAATAGGGAAAGCCGGCATATGTAGGGAAGTGATGGCCAATGACATATGATTTTGACTGGGAAGTTGCAGAGATGATGATTTGACTCATAACCAGCTGATGGTCATGTCTTGGAATGGTCATGCTGATTTAATTGGACCTAGAGTAGGGGGCAGGGAAGTCATACCTGTGGCATGGCACACAGGTCTCCAGTAAGTGCCATGAGCCTGACACCAGCTGAGACAAGGGGAATGTTCCTCCACTGGGGCTCAGGGTCTCATGGGTGGGAGCCCAGGTTCTGGCCAGAGGTGGAAGAGGGGTAAACAACCAGGGAAATAGTGGCCATTGTGACCTTGAGACCTCACTTCATCCATCAAATGGAGGGTGGACTCAAGGCCCCATAGAGCTCCAAACCTATGCTCCTATTATCTAGTCTAAGCCTCTCATTTTATAGAAGAGGAAATTGAGGCAAGCTGTTCAACCAGGTTAGTAGAATGGTGGAAAGAATTGTCTCTGGATTTGAAGAGCCTAAGTTTAGGTCCTCTGAAGTGTTTGAGTATGTCCTTTGAAAAGTCCCTTTCCTTCCTTCCCTGGACCTTGGTTTCTCTGCCTGTAAAATAAAGGAGTTCTGGTCCATTCTAGCTTCCAATTCTACAGGGTCTAAGGGCCTTCCCAGCTTGTGCATTCTATGGGTTCTGTGGCCAGGAGGGCAGGTGCATTCTGGTGATTCTGCCCCCAGAATCCTTCCCTCTGTAGGGTCAGCAGACCAGTTCTCCAAAGCAGTCAGCCAATGTTATGTAACATGTGATTAATCTTTCCATAGATGTCAGAACAGGCTTGCTGTCTGCGTCCACACTAGGTAGTCAAGGATGAGCCCTGACTGTACTCCCCCTGTCCTTCCCTGGGCCCCCACGGCTGCTGACCGGATTCTAACAATCCTTCTTGTGCTTTGTCTTTTCCAGCAACAGCGGCAGCTTGATCTCCTGACCATAACCAACCCGGGTGAGTCAGCGAGCGCGGCCCCTGACATTCTCTCTGTCTGCCCAAAGGGAGGCTGGTTTCCTGGCATGGTGTGCCTGGCTCCCTGCTGATCCCGGCAGCACCCACATGCCCTGCCCGGTTCACCTGGTGGGGATGGTGTGAGGACTGGCCGTCCCTCCTGTCCCCTGTCCCAGTGGGCCTTTCCCACTTGGGCTGCTGCCTATCATGGGGCAGGGGGATTCCATTCCTATTGGGGCAGGTGGCTCCAAATGTATCTCCAATCCAGCTACCTCTTCTCTCATCTCAGGCCTGTCCTGACAGCTTTGAGGGAAGAGATTTGGGGAAGTGTGCCAGGTTCTCCAGCTAGGTTGAGTCTTTGGGATTTTCCTCCCTGGAACTCAGACTATGGTTTGGATGTCTTTGCTGGCTTCCTTAGAGGGGCTGGTCTGGGGGCTGGAACATGGGTAGAGCTGACCAGCACCAACAAGGCCAGAGGAGAAAGTGAGCCTGGCCTGGGGGGATGGAGAGGACCTGAACAGGCCGGCCCTGTCATTGTGTAGCCAGGTGCCACAGGGTGGCAGGGCTGTGGGAGTATGGGGGGCTAGGGGTAGGGGCTGGAGAGGGTGTTAGGGGTGCCTGGCTGGGGAAGGCCAGCGTTTGGGGTTTGAGTGGCCCCACATTCACAGCATCAGGGAGGGAGCTGGTTCTCTCTTTGCTAATAAATTTCACACCCTCTTGGCTGTGAAAGGGCCAGCAGGGACAAGGGAAGGAGAGCATGATGGGGCCAAGGTCTAGCACAGAACCATAAGTGATGATGATCCTAGGAGCCGATGCTGGCTCTCACCCATGTGGGAAAGTCCCCTGAGGGAGCTGGAAGGGGCGGGGCATGTGTGTGCTTTGGGTGCATTCTGGCCTCAGAGCCAAGTCTGGTCTGGGGAGATGTGACCTCTGGAGAGCTGGGGCCTCCAGGAAAGAAGGTCTGTGGGATGTGAAAGTGCGGGACCCTTAGAAATGGTAGAGATGCCTGCTAGAGCCAGTCTAAGGTAATGCCTCTGTGGGACCAAGTGTGTATTGATGGCAGATCTCCAATGGCCAGTGGCTTGGGGGAAGAAGGTTGGCCTGGGCTAGCCTAAGCTTAGAGCCAAGGTTGTAAAGTCTGATGAAACGGCCCAGGGTCTTTTGGGAAGCCGATAGAACAGTGTAGCCCTGGCTGGCCACATTCCGGTCCCATCATGGTTTGTCTGGCGCTAGGAACGAGGAAGGGCTGACTTGGTGCAGGGAGGCTTGTCATGAATCTTGGAAGAGAAGGATCCCAAGGGTTAATAGTAACTACTTGTAAGGCACAAAGGGACTGAAGTTCATACCTGCCAAACCACAGGGAATGTTTTGGGTGGTGAGGGGGATTAGCCAAGGAGGGGACAAGAGCTCCCAGGGGCAGCAAGGCTCCGCTGTGGGGACAGGAGCGGGGCAGCAGAAGGGCATTAATGAAGGGGGGGCTGCACGGGGACCATAGGCAGCCAGGAGGAAAGAAGAGGGTCAGAGGACTCTCAGCAGTCAGAATCCTAGGCAAGGTCCGAGGGCCCTGGGTCTGCCTAGAGGGGGTTGGCCCTGAGACATCTGGAGGTGGGGGCATGCCCCTGTGTCAGTGAGTGGCTTTTTGGCCGGGCAGACCTTGTCGGCATTTAAATCAGTGACTGGCAGTGGGAGGCTTAAGCCTTGGCAGCAGGACCTGACCATGGCCAAGAGCTATGTGTCCAGTTGGATGCAGCTCCCCTTGCCTGCCTCCGTCCCTCATCCAGGGACCTTCAAGAAAACAGTGGTGAGTCACGGCCCCTCGGGGAGAGGATTGAGGCAATGAGTGATCTTGTGGGTTGTGACATCATCCATGGTGGTGCTGCAGCTTCTCGATGGCGTGACCAGAACAAATTGTTGGGAGGCAGAGACACACTGGGAAAGGAGCCCAGGGATGGGGATTGGGAATCCAGGTCCTAGCTCTGGTGCTTCTTAACTGTCGGACCCTCTGCCACTCTGTGCCTCACTTTCCCCATCCCAACTGGGATTCAGTTCGATTCAGCAAACATCTAATGAATATCCACTGTGTGCTGGCACCGTGATTTCTTGTTGTTCAGTTGTTTTTGTCGTGTCTGACTCTCTGTGACCCCATTTGGGGTTTTCTTGGCAGAGACACTGGACTGGTTTGCCATTTCCTTCTCCAGCTCATTTTGCAGATGAGGAAACTGAGGCAAACAGGGTGAAGTGACTTGCCCAGGGTCACACATCTAGTAAATGTCTGAGGCCAGATTTAAACTCAGGAAGAGGAGTCTTCCTGACTCCAGGCCTGGAGATCTATCCACTGAGCCACCTAGCTGCCTACCTAGGAATAAAAAACAAAAATGACATTAAGGAGATGATGTTCTACGGGGTGAGGGGGTGGAGACAACAGGAAGGCAAGGAAGTCTATCCAAAGTTGGTGCTGTTGGAGGATCTGCACCTGGGAATTCCTAGGCAGAGGAAATTCCCTCCCCCAGTGTCGATCAGCACGTCATCTGTAGCTTACAGTCTTGGAGAATCATCTGGTGCCCCAACAAGCTTGTCCACGCTGTGTCCAGGGCAGGTCTTGTGCCCACTCTGCCCTTTCCCCCTCTACCTCTCCAATCACAGAGTGCACAAAGGAGCCACTGTGCTTTCATGAGTGAGGGCTGCTCCTGTCTGGCCTTGTGATCAGGCAGTGGAACCTGGACGGGGCTTGGGCACCCCCTCAGAGCCTCCTCCTCCAGCAGGGCCCTTCATCGGGGCTCCTGGGGCAACTGCCAAGGGCATCATCAATGAGCACCCATGAAGCACTCAACGCACTCCAGGCACTGAGCTAAGCCTGGGGATACCAAGAAGTGAAAAGTATAATGCCTGCCCTTGAGGGGCCCACAGCCTGATGGGGGAACAATACAAGACAGCTCTGCCTAAATGAGCTATAGAGGAGGTACATTGGAGATAATAATCAGCTGAGGGAAGGCACTAGGCCTGAAGAGGATCAGGCAGGTGGGGTTTTAGCTGGGACCTGAAGGAAGCCAGAGATGAGGAAGGAGAGTGCCCCAGGCCCGAGGAACAGCAGAGAGAACCTGCAGTCAGGGGAGGCTCTCCGGTCTGGGATCTTGAGGCAGGAAGAGCAGCCAGCAGGCTGCTGCCATAGTCATAGCTGCTACCAGCATTACAGTCCTTTCCTTCCATCCTTCGGAGATCTGCACCTTCCTCAGCATGACTCCCTGCCCTGCCGAGTATCTCAGCCTCTCAGGGGCTGAGGAGCTCTTCTTGGGGGGCTGGTGTTGAGGAAAAAGCCACTCCCCTGCAGCCAGCCTGAGGAAGCACATCCCAGAGCTGAGCCTGCCTGGTGCCTGGACGTCAGACAGCCCTAAGCCCAAAGCTCACGAGACCTTCCTGAACTCCCATAGCCCCAGACCCTGGTCAGTCCCCCAAAGTTAAGGAATAGATAGCCTTCCCTGGGAGTCTGGAGACATAGGTCAGGGTTTGTGTACTAGCTCAGGGTGATGAGTGAAATCTGAAATAAGCAAGGACACAAACGTTCGAGCTTCTAAGTGGATCACTTTATTATGCAATGCGTGCCAATGGCCTAACAAATCGGGACCAGGCCTCCTCAGCTTGGCACTGGACCCAAATACAGGGGGAGACACATTTTTATGCATTAAAAGAAAACAATTAAGAGGGTATAAACCAGGACGCAAGATTAGGTCAACTGATTTTTAATTGGAGGAAAGATTAGGGGCTTTCCAAGTTGGGCAGGGAAGAACAAATAGGTGCAGTTCTCTGAAATCAGAAACAGAGGCGTCCCACTCCTCTCCGAGCTTCCGTATTCAGTCAAAGCAACGAGGAAACAGTAATGGATTGACCAGGATAAGACATATGGGGTTCTTGTGATGTATAATTGTGAGAAAGCTCCTTGCGTCAGTCTTTGGATCTGACTGGGTTTCTGGTCAGCACAAGCTAGGTCCTCAATTAAGGGTTCTCTAAGCAACAGGTAGAGGTGGTCCAGCTTCTCAGCCACGCAGGGCTAGGTTCGGACAATTCAATAAAGTTTTCTCTAAATTCCCACAATTAAACAAAGTTTTCTTACGAGACAGAAATTGGACCAGACCCATAATTGAATAGAAAGGGAACTGAGCTGGCTCCAGAATTGAGTTACAAGATGGAGACAGCATGGTTCACTCAGTTTCCACAATTTCTACCCAGGGCCCTACCCCTGCTCTTTCCAGGCAGAGGAGTCCATGGCTTGAGCTCAGCCCTGTCCCAGGTGGTAGTTAGGCCTCCAAGCATTTTCTCTACTCTGGTCAGATTGCTAGGCCCAGGGTGAGACACACAGGCTGCAGGAGACCTCAATGGTGCAGGGCCCAGTCCGGTGTTTGGATGGCCAGGGGAGCCTGGGTTCCTCTTCTGTGTAACAGTGGCTCAGTATAAGCAGGTATGATCACCCCACCCCACCTCCCTTCAGTTCTACAGTACGTAATTGAGCTTAGCATCCTTTCACCCAGGCTGGGTAAAGCTGCTCACTTTACTTGGTTATAGGACAAAATCATAGCATGGTGGACTTAAAGCTGGGGGACTTTAGAAGCCATTTAATCTCCTACCTTCATTTTATATGCCGGGACCCTGAGGCCCAGAGAAGCAGAAGAAGTAGCCCAATACAGCCTGCTCTTTAGGTCCTCCATACTTCCAACCAAAGATGAACTGCCGATCTGTTTTTTCTGGAAAGAGCCCTTGACGTGAGATTAGGATCACTAACTAGCTGTGTGCCCGACCTGGGCCTTCCTTGCGGTTCTCACTTCTCAGCTTCCTCCTCTTTAAGATGAAATGCCTGGACTCGGCCAATCAGCAGATGTTAAGGAAGCTTCTGTTGTTCCTGGCCCAGCACTGGGCATCAGAGACGAAGGTGAAACCATCCCTGCCGTCCAGGGGCTTACAGTCGCCATCCAGCTCCGGATCTAGGCTGCTGGGCGCATTGAGTATCACCG